GTCAGGTCAAATTTTTTGAGTTTTAAGTTTCAATTATGAAGCCTATTAGTGTAAAAGTTTAAATATTGATGGGCTTATTATTCTCCTTGAAAACAAAACCATAATTTCTCTCCCTGCCAATGGTTAATCCTCCAGCCTTCCTTGATCTTGTTTTGTAATTTTATATGGAAGAAACTACAGAAACTGAGATTGAGCAGTTTTCTTTCAATTTCCAACTCTTGAAATTCTGGCTTACTCTTCTGGTCTGGAAAATGAAGTTAAAAGTTTACTGACATAACATAACTCTCTTTATATTACTTAAAAATATTTTAAATGCATATAAAATGCATCTTAAATGATTTTTAGTAAGTTAGCTCCTTGATTTTAATAAATTCATACCTCTGCCTTTGCCAGCATTCTGCCCTGGCATCCCTTTAGAATGCTGTTCTCCTCCAATAGCAGCCCCAGTGCTACTGGCCTGGTGTCACTGACCCCATACAGAAACCCAGCCAGGGAAGAAAAGGACAAAGTTTGATCTCACAGCCTTCACTGTGCATTTCTGTTTGGCCAGTGTTAGTTTTTTATATCCTTTGTTTTTTATTATCCTCACCATTGTTTTTATATCCTTTCCTTGCTTCGCCTCCTCCCAGCTTATCCACAATGTTTATTTGTTCATCTGTCCACTGAAAAATCATTTACTTGATTGAGTACCTACCAATCAAAGGAAAACCATTTATGTTTAGAGAAAAGATATTCAAAGATATGATGCAGGCAGCAGATAGAGGTCATAAATTAGATGCCCACGGGCCATAGTCAGCCTGCTTAAGTGTTTTATTTATCTATCCCAATATTTAAGGTTTTTTAAAGGTAGTTGACAGTATTTGAAAATTGGACTGTTTCCTATAAAATCTGGATGCTGGTATTAGGGGACCTCGCCTTTGTCTCTGTGTCTCTCTTTACCTCCTTGGATGTGGGGAAAATTGGGGAAGGTGCTAGGCATGGGGCAGAGGCTGAAGCCATAGCAACCTCAGTCCTTGAAGGTCTCACCTGCCGAGGTCTCGAATTTGGGTGTCATGCTGATAGCTACTTGGAGCCCTAAGAAGATTTTAATCTGAAATATCACATGATCGACTTTGCACTTGGAGGCAGATTGAGGAATCCTTCGGAAGGACAAGTCCAGAGGTGGGGAGATCTCTAGGAGGCTGTTATAGTAAATCAGAGAGGAAGCCTAAGAAGTTGAACAAGAGAACTGCACTAAAGTTCCAAGAGGAGCACATAAATTGGGGAGCTGTTAAGGAGTAGAAGGAATTGCTAAATCAGGCTTGAGTAGAATTCAGAGGAGGGAGGAATCTTGTTAGAGTAACCTCTATCTGGTTCTTGGAGTGCAAGTGGAAATGCTTTCAGGGTTAGTAGGACTTTGCTAGTCTATGACTTGCTTGGTCTGTGAAGCTCATTTGCATTTGTGCATTTTTTTCGGGGTTGAAAGGCCTGCATCAGGGTCTGTGGTTGTAAGCGACAGAACCCAAATGTGGCTGCTTTAGGTAGAATAGGTCAGATAGCCAGGAAGGCTGGAGAATCAGATTTAGGCTACCCTGCCAGGAGCTAGTTCTACAACTGGTATAGTGAGAGCATTTCTGGGACTGCCCCAAGATGCAGATGTTGCTACTGTAAGGTAGGCTGTCCTGGCTTATCTCTGGATTCTGGTCTGGAACAGCTGTGGAGACATGTTGCACTTCAGTCACTTGTCCATGCCTTAGCAACAAAGGTAGAAGTGAGTAAATATTTGGCATTTGCAGCTTCTGTAGTAAAAGCTGGGCTTGCTTCCCACCAAGACTCCAACGTGGGGGGTGGGGATTCTCCAAACACAGGAAAAGGCTTCAGAGACTAGGGAACCCATAAAATAAAATAATTGTTCATTAAAGGGTTTATAATTTTTTAACATACTGAAGAGATGAGGGATCCCAAACAGTGAGGACCTCTTCTCTATTTTGAGAGAATATTGGGAGCAAATAAAGGTGATGTTGCAAGGTGGGACCAGTGAGGGTTGTTGGGAAAATAGGGGTTATTTGGCTTGGCTGGAGATTAAAATGGGGAAATCCTTCAGAGGTAGAGAGTCATGTTGAAATTTTCAGTTGAATTTCAGTTTTGGCCTTCGTTTTCTTGGGAAAGGTTTTGCCATTGAACATTTTGATCTAGCAAATGACCCAGTGAGAATATGACTTTAGAAAATTAATTTGATGGGACAAAAAATAAGTTCAGTGGCTGCTTCTCTAGTTCATGTGTGAACTGAGGTTCTGGGCTGTGGTGGTGACCATGAGCCAAGGAGCTGGTGCTATGATTGGACTTCATAACTCACTGGGCAGAGGGAGGGCGCTAGGGTAGGGAGAGAGACGTGCCCTGGTGGGAGTGGGCTCCAGATTTTTCATTCTGGATGACTGGGAGAGGTGACACTATCAGGGGACAAGAGGAATTGATAATTGGGGGAGAGAAGATAATGATCTGTTTTAGATAGTGGAGTGAAGGGAGTGGAAGCCAGACTGGAGTTGAGTTCCAAAGGGTAGATTTAGGAATCATTAAATCATAGTTCTAGAGCAGTGGAGCACAGAAGTGATCTAACCTCATGCTCTTGTTTTATTTTATTTAAAAAAATAATATGAATGTATTAATTTATATGTAGTAGAGAAAGTAAAAGTTCAAAAAAGAAAAGTAAAAATAAGACATAATCTTTTTCCAAAATACCACCACTTGACTTTAAACAAAAAGCAAATTGAAGTAATGCATGCATAAGATTAGAACATTCAAACCATATAGAAAATTACATACAGAAATACAAAAGTGGTCCTCCCCAGACCTTCCCAGCCTCCTGTGTCCGCTTCACAGAGGTAAGCATAGGAATGAAGGCATTGTACTGCACACATGACTTTACCATTCCTTTATTTTTATCATGACATTTCTAAGATAGAGTAAATAAACATACATAAAAATATCTACATCTTTCTAACAGCCCCAAACATCTTAAACACCTTAGTGGCACTTACTATAGAGCCCTGAAAACTGTCTATCTCAGTCACACCACTATCCCAAGTGCCCAGCACAGTGCCCATGTGCAACATGAATTCAGCAAACCATTCAACCACTGTAATATATTCTGTAACTTGCAATACATACAATATGACAAACATGCCCATATTGTAGTCCATTATAACTGTCAACTGAATGAATCTGGAGTCATTTGTGGCATAAAAGAAAAATTATTCTGTCACTTATGAAAAATGGCAAGGAAGACAGAGACTACTGCAAGTGAGAGACTGAACTCCCAATATTACAGGCAAGTGGGGATTTATAACCAGTGAGCAGGGTGAGGGAGTAGATGGGAAATTTGTAAGAAGAACTTGATTAAATATCAAGTGAAGGAAGAGCTTGATTGGATATCACGGGTGGGAGGATTCTTTGCTAAATCTGGCAGTCTATGGACAAGGCCTAGTTGAGAAGAGGACTCAAAGTTGCCCAACTAAAATTTGGTCAAGGATGAAATTTTTTGTCACTATCACCCAAACAACCATGTGATGATTATGGCCTTTAGTAGCTAATGTCACATCCTAATAAAGATAGGAGAGACCCTGGAGAATGAGATATTACACATAAAAAAGCTCTGTGCAGGCAAGAACTGCCAGAGAACATCAGTTCGGTCCATCTCCAAGATGAACTTGCATTGTTCTTATATTGTAAAACAGGAATGATTAAGTATCTATTCCATCTTTCCAGTTAGGAGAATCCCAAAGACTGATTATAATTCAAGAAAGACCTGTTTTTTAACTCCTTGGCAGTGGATGCTGGAGTTTTTCTTTGAGATTTTGTTTCACATATTTATAGAGCTTATGTTGTATGCACTTGGAAATCATATTGCGTGGTGTAGCTTCCAAAGCAGTGTCCATATTTGGACTTCAGAGATTTCATATAAAGTATTGGCAAGACAAGAATTAGTTTCTGGTTTTGTATTTTGCAAAGTAGGGGGTGCTTGTGAAAAATACAGCCCCTAGGTCTCATGTCAAATCTACTCAATCATTCCATATAGGGGGTGGGGCTTGTGTAGAAATTTGAATTTTTAACAGATTTTGATGATTCTGATAGATAGTCTGGTTTGAGAACTATTGCCTTAGGAGAAGTAGATATTTGGGAGCAAATGTATGTTCTTAAAACTTTTTAAGAAAACAGTTCATTCATTCATTTAGCAACTCTTTACTGAATGGTAATCATGACCTAAGCTTGACCTAGGAGCTGAGTGTGCAGCAGTGAGCAACAGGATGTGTTTGCTGCCCAAAGAGCCTTCCATTTCAGCAGAGGAGACAGACCTTCACCTAGTAATGCCCCTGTGACAGTATCACCACAATGGGAGCACAGCAGGCTGTGGGCAGTGACACAGGGGCCTGTTCCAGACTCTGAGATCAGGACAGGCCTCCTTTGGGCATGAGTCAAAGCTGCCTAACAGTGGGGACAGTATTTGCAAAAGCCTTGGACAACAGAGGGTAGGTTTTCTGGAGCAGTGAGAGAAGCCTGGGATGTGTAGAGGGTGTCTAGGGTATAGTGAGGAAAGGAGGAGTCATGGGGGAAAAAGCAGGCAGGAAAGTTGGAGGGGTTGCTGGAGGCACTTAGTTTTATGGCTTAACTCAGGATGCCAAAGAGCACTTGCAGGGCAGAAATGAGGAAGGACACATGGGATCTGTGAAGTTCTATGGAGGATCTTGGTCTTTAAAGTTCCGAAAGTTGCTTGACACCAACACACTACCATCTATAGGCTATTTGGGCAGGGTTACTACTGGCCATGGGCAGGCCAGAGCCCTGGACACAAAGATGCCTGATTGTGCATGCTATCCATCTGAAGAGGTTCTAGGAAGTAGGTGTAGCAGGCGACAAGCCTAGGCTGTACACCAGCCACTCTGGTGAGGGCCCAGCATCTGTGTGCAAAACCCTATCAGCATAAGGTCTGTAATGCTCACATCTGGTATGTGTCTCTCCCCTAGATCCTGCCTGGCCTGTATATTGGCAACTTCAAAGGTGAGTTATCTCTTTTTTTTGTATTATTGTGGTAAAATATGCATAATATAAAATATGCCATTTTAGCCATTTTTAAGTGTACAATTCGGTGGCATTAAGTACATTCACATTGCTGTATAACCATCACCACCATCCATCTCCAGAACTCTTTCATCTTTCTCAACTGAAAGTTAGTACTTTCAGTACCAATTTAGTACTAATGATAGTACCCATTAAAGACTAACTCTGCATTTCCCCCTCTCCCAGCCCCTGGAAACTACCATTTTACTTTCTCACTCTATGAATTTGACTGCTCTAGGTAGGAACCTCATATAAGTGGAATCATACAGTTTTTGTCCTTTTGTGTCTGGCTTTTTTCACTGCTAATGTCCTCAAGGTTCATCCACGTTGTATCATGTTTCAGAATTTCCTTTCTTTTTAAGGTTGAATACTATTACATTTTATGTATATACCACATTTTGTTTATTCATTCATCTGTTGATGGACATTTGGGTTGCTTCCACCCAAAGTTAAGTTTACTTTTTAAAAGATTAGCTTTAGTCTTTTCACATATGATTGAGTCGAGGTATAAACTCAGTTTATACAAAGTCTGGTCTGGACATGGCCACCACTTATGCCCAGGCTCCTTGTTAGGTCCTCTTCCTCGTGTTCCAGCCCCTCGGCCAATACTGACAAAGGCATGTGGAGCTTGCAGTTTCCACCTTAACCTGTGATCTTCATTTTAATTCCACATACATGTTGGAACATTATTATCAAAAGAAGACAGCTAATAAGCACAGTAGCCATGTAACTTCTTGATAATCTTTTATCACTTTTTCTAGTTATTATTAATAAATGTTCAGAAACCTATTATTTTAATCACTTGTTAAAAATAAGAGGCAATTTTATCTTTGGCAGATTATTCTTATCTTGTGTTGACTTTTCTTCTTACACATTCCTCTGTGACTTATTCAATATGTATTTATTGATTTGCTGTCAGATACCAACTTTTTACTTTTAGCTTATCTGTCTCAAAATGCTCTGTGGTCACAGAGGTGAGTGGAAACCCATGGAGCGAAGTTCAGAGTGGCAAACAGACTTTTGTTAATTTCCAGAGAGGGGCCAGGTCCTCATGCTGTGTGACGCTTTGAATGTTTATAAGTGAAAACACTGGTTCCTTAGCATTGGAGATAGGGTAAACTTAAATAGGATGAAATAGACCTAGGAAACTTGCAGAAACAAGTCTGCCCACATTGGGTTGAAAAGAGCCAAACTTTGTCATAGGCATCTGAAACTCCTCCCACCCCAAACAAGCCAGAACACACTCCTCCCTGTTTTGTGGTTGTTGCTTAAATTTGTAAGTTCAGGTTCAAATTGATTATAAAAACAGTCTTTATGATTTCTCTGCATAATATTTATTTTTTCTTCATTTCCCCGAAGGCTCCTAGTGCTGCTAATTTGCCTCAAAGAGAATTAAGCATAGGGAGCTAACAGCTGCTAATTGCTACTAGAACCTGTTAAAAATAGTTCTGGAGTTATTAAATCAGTAAGCTTTGTAGTTCTCAAAAAGCAGCAAGTGCTTTGTGATGGGAGCTGGAATATAGAAAAGAGCAAATATCTTTAGAGGTTATTTAGTTATTTTTAACTGCTTTGATGGGGAGAAGGGAATGTCTTTGTGTTTGAGAACAGAATTTAGAATAAATTCTTAGAAGTAGAGTTACTAGGTGAAAGTGTTTACAAATTAAAAATTGTAATAAATACCAACCAAATTAAATACTTCTTCCCACAATTTATGAGAGTTTTATCCTAACACATAGAAGGTTACTTTCCTATAGAAGGACATTATGCACAACTTTAAGGAAGTATTTAAAACTCCTTTTTTGTACTAAAATCCATATTTATTTTCTAAATAGTGAGTGACATAGGAATCCTTCACAGTTCCAGGATTCTTGCTTTGTAGTTTTCACCCATCAGAGTTTTATAACAACTCACACCTATCTTTGTTCAGACAATTGATATTTTGTTATTGCTTTCAGTTATTCTGACATTAGTATGTGGTTATGTTTTTTTCATGTACTCACCAAACATTTCTTAAACATTTATCAAGTGTAAGGCTTATCTAAAACAAAGGAATGATAGTGTGGTGAATCCCCAAGAAGTTGGAAGGAAGTGTTGTGTTCATATAGTTGCCTGTAAATTAACTCATCCATTCCACAAACTTGTTGCAAGTGCCCGATGTGCAGAGCACTGTGCTAGGAGTCTGATGTGGACATGTGTCCTAGTCCTCAGTGGGGAGCAGGTATAGAACAGGGGGAGCAGGTCCTGCAGAATGGAGAGAAGCAATGGGATGGGCTGCCTTGGAATTCAGTTACCCCACAGCCCATGAGCCAGATGTTTGCCCTCAGACACGTTAAGCAAACTCAATGTGAGAGAGGAAGAATGTCAGCTCTGGGGCTGTGGTGAGGACTGAGCCAGACAGTGCAGATGAAGAACTCACTTCCTGCCTGGTACATGGCAGGTCAGCCAGGGTAAGTCCTCCTCATCTTCTCTATCTGGAAATAGGAACCACACACCTACTTTGGACTGTTGTGGGAAGATGTTCATAAAGCACCCACACCATGCCAGGTGTGCTATAGGCGCTCATCAACATTAGTTAGCAAGTATGGAAATGCAAAGTGAAAGGATCATGACTTCTGGAAAGTGAATCCAGCTCTCATCTGCTTTAGTGTGATGCCTCATTTAGTCATTTTCTTCTCTTTTTAAATCACAAATAATACATGCCTACTATAAGACAACAACCAATATAGAAATATAAAAAGGAAATTTAATGAAAAAATTTAATTTTCTGAGAGTTCAATTTTTTTTACAGAGTATGGCTCGACACTTGCTACTCAGGCCTTGGTTCTAGCAGCCATGGTCTCCTCAGTCCAGTCATTGAATGGTCTTCTGTGCCATTTCCTTTCTTCTTTCCCCTCCCCTTCCCTCCTCCCTTTCTTCCAGTGGAATTTTTTACAAGTCGCTCTGCAGCTTTTTTTTTTCTTCTTCTTTTTAACTTTGCAATAAATCACAAACAGTTTTCTAACACCTGGTGATTTTTCCACCTGGAGAAAAACCCATAGACAAACCCAGCTTCTGAAGCCTGGTCTTTGATGAGAGCCTCTCAGTCAAGATTCCTGTAGCTGACAGCTGGTTCTGCCCATATGTAAGGAGGGAAGGTAGGAAGTGGAAACTCAAAGATCAACTCCATCCTAGGCCAAGAGGGTGGGGATTAGCTGCTTCCTCACAACTTAACAAGTGCAGAAGTGGTTGTTAGCGGACGGTGGAAGTCTTCATTGCTTAAAGATCTCCACAGAAACCTTGCAAAGTGGGAGACAAGCTCAGGCACTGTGTGTGTGCAGGTGATGTACAAAGAGACATGTTTGAGGTCTCAGAGCTTTTGTTTTGTGTCTGTCAATTGGAGCATGGTTCCCCAGTTCAGATGAGTAGAATTACTGAACATTGACTCGTGATAGTCTGCTGTTAACTTAGCCTAAGAGACCTGGGTGCTGAGTGATGAGTTTCAGGTGGTACAGCCTTCTGTACAGCTGGGAATCATGTCTTTGAAGTGAGCATGTATTTGGAAACATTCAGACATGATGGAAATTGAGGCCCAGACCACAGCCTTGGGACTTACTCTGGTAATGATGATAATAATGATGGCAATGATAACATTTACTATAAGCCAGACAGCATTGTTCTAAACATTGTATCATTTAGCACTTCTCACAACCCTTACTATTTTTCCACGTTATAGGTGAGAAAAGTGAGGCACAGAAAAACTTGCCACCAGTAAATATCAGAGCCAGGATTTGATAAGGGAACAGGTATGAATTGTCCTGTTTTAGCCCCCAACCTAGATTGGAATTGTATCCACTTAAAGGTTGAACTCACTAACAGCTAATTTATAACTCTAGAAGTTATTATGATGTATAATAATTTATAACTCTAGAAGACATTAAATTTTGCAGTGGAAAATATAACTGCAAGACAGATTGGAATCTCTTGCCCAATAGTCAGCAGAATTCACAAATTGAGAGGCAAAAGTTTGAGAAATGACTCAAAACATGGCTTAGTTTTCAGTGTCAAAGCAGAGGGACTTAGGTCTTTTTAAAACGGAGACCTTCCTTCTCCCCTTCGCTTGATCTCTCATCCTGCATGGCCATCCTTTTCAGTCCACAACAGTGCAGCAGGTGCTCTGAGTATTAGAAAGGCACTACCAAAGAAGTCTTTTCCAGCCAAATGTCCATTTTTCTTGAGCACTTGTGTTGATAGTGTTAATTTCTAATACTTCTTCTAATGTAGTTTTCTTAATTTTATTCAGGATCAGTTCTGCTTGACTTTACTAGACTAGCTTATTTCCCACAGCCATTCTGGCATTTCTCACATCTTAGGACTGGTTATCCCATCCATCTTCTGTATCAATATAAGATCCAGAGTGCTAATTCCCCTTCCTAAGGAAGCATGTAGCTGTTACTTTGCCCTTTAGAACAGCATCTTGCAGGAACTCATCTGCTACCAAAGTAAGGTCTACCTAGTGACAGGTGGGGTCTTCCTCTGAGCTAGGCAGGGAACGTACAATAGCAAAGAGAAGGATCTGTTGGGTGTTTCTGTTTCAGTACTCCCACTGTGTAAAGGTGACATTTACTTCTGAAAGCCAAGTAATGCTTGGGATGAGGGGCAGGGAGGGTGGCAGAGATAGAGAGGATAAAGGGAGACAGGCAGCAAGAGTCCAGGGGCCAAGAGAGATGACAGAAGAGAGAGGAAAGAATATGGTTAGCTATTTTTACTAATGAGGGGCTATTTTATTTAATGCAATTTATATTGAATTGTGAATAGTATTTTTAAAATTCTGTTTTTCCTGATTATAAAAGTAACGTAGGTTTTTTTTCCCCTCAATTCTTAATTCTGTTCCACTGGTCTGTGTATCTATTTTTCTGCCAATACCATGCTGTTTTGATTGTCACTTTGTAGTATAATTTGAAGTCAGTTAGTGTGATGCCTCCAGTCTTGTTCCTTTTTCTAAAGATTGCTTTGACTATTTGGGGTCTTTTGTGATTCCATACAAATCTGATGTTTTTTTGTTCAATTTCTTTAAAAAATGCCATTGGGATTTTGATGAGTATTGCATTAAATCTGAATACTGCTTTGGGTAATATGACCATTTTAACTATGTTGATTCTTCTGATCCTTGAACATGAGATATCTTTCCATTTCTGTGTCTTTTCAAATTTCTTTGAATAATGTCTTATAGTTTTCAGTGTATAGGTCCTACACATCCTTTGTTAAGTTTATTCCTAGGTATTTCATTCTTTTTGTTGCATTTCTTTTTCTGAAATTTCATTGTTAATGTATAGAGCAAATTTTTTGACAAAGGAGCCAAAAATATGCGATGGAGAAAGGAAAGCTTCTTCAATAAACGGTGCTGGGAAAAATTGGAAAGCTACATGTAAACGAATGAAACTAGACTATTATCTGTCACCATACAGCAAAATTAACTCAAAATGGATCAGGGACCTAAATATAAGACCTGAAACAATAAATTGCCTTGAAGAAAACATAGGAACTAAACTCATGGACTTTGGATTTAAAGGGGATTTTATGACTGACATCAAAGACAAGGGAAGTAAAAGCAAAAATGAATATTGACTATATCAAACTAAAAAGCTTCTGTACAGCAAAAGAAACCAAAAAAACAAAGGGGCTACCAACTGAATGAGAGAATATATTTGCAAACAATGCCTCTGGTAAGGGCCTAATATCCAAAACATATAAAGAACTCATACAACTCAACAACAAAAAAATCAAGCAATTTGGTTAAAAAATGGGCAGAGGACCTGAACAGGCACTTCTCCCAAGAAACATGGCCAAGAGACATATGAAAAGATGCTCAACTTTAGCTGGTAGGGAAATACAAGTCAAGACCACAATGAGATACCACCTCACACCTTTTAGAATAGCTATCAATAAGACAAGTAATAACAAGTGTTGGAGAGGTTGAGGGTAAAAAGGAACCCTCATACATCGCTAACGGGAATGTAAATTGGTACAGCCACTATGGAAAAGAGTATGGCAGTCCCACAAAAAATAAGAATATAATTACCATATGAGTTAGGTGAGGTGCAGGGTCCCAGGTAGTTACCAGGGTGGGGCAAGTGGTGTTTACCAAGTTAATATAGTTTCAGGTTTGGTGCCAGTGTTGAGCCTGGGACCCCTTACAACAGTCTCAGAGCACACGGAAGCCAGCCACTGCCCACCTTGTCCCCACAGGCCCCTGAGAGTTGTCTAAAAAGACTGCAGTGTGAGTTGCAGCTAGTTGCTTACCACTGGAAGTGCCTCCAGTGGTGCATGAGCCAAGGCCTACTGTTTGCTGCTGAAAGAGCCTCCTATGGTACACAATGCGGGGCTGGTTGCTCAGCCACCATAAGCACATTTGCTGGTGTGCAATTTGGGTGGAGCAGGATCCTAGGGAGTCACCAGAGTGAAGAGGATCTCACCAGGTTAATTCAGTTTTAGATTTGGCCATGTGGGGGAGGGCTCAACACAGGCAATATGGCACCCACCTGGGACAATGATGGCTGTCCCTCTAGCCTTCTCCCTGCAGCCACACAACTCAGGCTTTCCCTGTTTGTTATTGGCACCTCCTGAGTTGCTGTCCCTTTGCCAGAATTCAGAATGAGTGCCTGAGAGCAAGTGAGTCTGTGTGTGAATTCTTTAAGAGGACGTCTGGGTTGCCAGCCGCCTTCCATCTCACCTGAACAGGCACAATCCCTGCTGATTTTCACAACTAGCTGTTGTTGGGACTCTTATTTTGGCACTGGAACCCTGAGATGGGGAGCCTTTTGTGAGTCTGGGGCCTCTCATTTCGCAGAGGGCACCGCTGCTGCTTAGATAGCCCTCCTGATATTCATCCACCACACATGGTTCTGGGGCTAGCTGTTTCCCATCTTTTCCCCTTCTACCAGTCTCGAATTGGCCTAGTTCTGTTCAGCTAGTCTTCAGATGACTGTCCAGGGTGATTGTTCTATAATTATAATTTTAATGTGGTCATGGGAAGCAGCAAGCACAGCATTTACTTAAGCTGGCATCTTGCCCCAACAATCTGGCATTTGGCACCCTGGGGTTTTTATTCAAGTGCAGGTTGTGATTGCATAAGTATGTAGTGAGCTTGGGCATCTGCATTTTCATCATGCTTCCAGGTCATGCCATGCTTCTGCTTGGCAGACCCTGGTTTGAGCAGCAAAAGACTAAGTTCCTCCTCTATGATTCTGTGCTTAGAGAGACATGGTGTGAAACTTTCAGGCTTATGTATATGCATGCGAGCAAGCTGATAACCCCATGGCCAGAATCTTATCAGCTGCGTTCATAGCTTGTTAACATAGTGGTTGTAGGCAGCCATCCAGAACCATCAATAACTTGTAGTCTTAAAGAATAAAAGGTCCAAAGTCATCATCCAATAGCTTTGATTAAACATTTTACACACACTCAAATAGGTGGACTGAGCCTGTGTGTATGAAAAAGGATAATCCCAAACTGGTGTATCAATGTGGATAACACTATAGTAAAACAGGAATGCAGAGCAAAGGAAGCATTGTCCAAGAGTAATTACCATTTTCTTTGGAGTTCAATAGTCACATGTCTCATTTGTGGTATCAAGTAGTCTTCTGTATTCACAAATGTATAATCCTACATCAAAACCACTTTTTTTGTTGTCGTTTATATTAATATTAATCTGTGTTACAAAAGTATATGTAGTGCTTAAATGTTCTAAAGTTAGATTGTGGTGGTGGTTAAACAACTCTGAATATGCTAAAAACCCTTGAATTGTACACTTTAAAAGGGTGAATTTTACGGTATGGGAATTATCCCAATAAAACTATTTTTTAAAAAAGAAAAGTGTATTTAAACAAATATTGATCTTTAAAATTTAAATCCTGAGCAGAATCAGAATCTGGAAGATTCTGTCCTAGATTGTCCTAAACCTGCTTTAGAGAGCTCCATTGCTACTCTGGCTCTCCCACCTTTTCTGCCCCACCTTCGAGCCGGGGAGTGTGGGGACTCTTTTGTGAGCACTGAAAGCTTCCGCTTTATCTTGTTTCACTTCTTATGAATTCAAATGCATATGGGTGGTGATGGGAAGATTGCATTTTGGTGACTATGTGGAAACTGGTTGCCTGTGGGATCCTAAATGATTTTAATTGCTGCCTAATTTAAAGCTCACTGATGCTGCAACTTATGATAGCTGAGTGGGGAAAGCAGTTGGAATTGAGTCCCTGTATGTGTGAGGTAGATGACTGCTGTGCACATCTGAATTTGAAGCTTGAAGTGGTTGAAGTGATGAAGAGAGTCTTAAAACCAAGATTTTAATACTACTTTCAGAGTTTTTTTTTTTTTTCCTTTCTGTAAAAGTGGTACGTGCTTATTGCAGAGTATTTAGAACAGAGTTCTTAGTTTTTGCTCAGTCATCAAGGGTTATTAGAACTGCAGATTCCTCAGCCCTGTCATAGACCTTGAACTAAGTTGGAGCCCAGGAATATGCTTTTTTAACAAGTCCCCCAGACAGTTCATAAGTATGTGAAACTTTTAGAACCACTCATGTTGAATATATACAAAAATATATTTAAAAAGAAAAAAATTGAGAACACTTATAATATCTTCTCTTAAAGATTACCACTTTATTATAATTTCTTATAGCAGTTTTACCCCCATGTATATGTATGTCTTTATGTGTTTTAACAAATTGTATTTTTATTGTATTTATAGTTTCGTACCTGTTTTTCTCCTGTGCTTAATGTTATAGCCTGAGTATTCTCTCATATCATTAAATATGCTCCAGAAACATAATTAAACATTTGACTTTTGGTCCATTTTACCCTCTATCAATTTAAAAAACTCATCCCAGGCCAGGACAGAGACATAGAGGGAAAAGAACATCTTGTATCTTGCCAGACTCCTGTTTCTTAGATTAGAAGAAGGGTTCCAATTTGGGGAGATTCATTCAGTCTGTCTTCTACAGGTGGGTGCATTGGAAAGGAATGTAATTTGGATGTCTCCTTAGTTTCATTTGCAGATCATTTAACAGCCAACTGATAACTTATGGAAAATTGTGTTTGGAATTTCTAGAGAATATTCTACTTTTACTTTTTCCCTAAAGTGAATATAGATATTGTAAGTCTGCATCTGGACTCATCCCTCCATTTATTTGTTTGTTTGTTTGTTTGTTTATTGGTTTGTTTTCATTAGTTTCATTGGTTAGACATTTATATAGTTTATAAAATGATCCCCTAATTACTCCTTCTCTCCTCTGGTTTTCCACTTAGCCAATATATTAATGCAAACTACATTCCCTGTGCTGTGCTTCCCAGCCCCCCGACCATCTATCAACTACTAATTTGTACTTCTTTAACCCTATTCATCCTTCCTTTTGACATAAGGGTAAAGTAATCTCTGGCAGGTTCCTATTTCTTATATGGTAAGTGAGCCTTTTATATTTAATTTTAACTTAGATTCTTAATCATTAAGAGGTAATTTTAAAAAATATTTTAAACATCTTTATTGTTATATGTTTTATTGTGTCTAAAATTTAACAAATATCAACTACGAAATGATCTCATAGGTTCTCTTCCTCTCAACAGCAATAATCATGATTACAGTGTTAATTAATGTAAATACCTTTCAAGTTTTATATGACCACTTTGTATCAAAAGCTGTGTCAATCAGAAATAAACTTATTATCTACAAAATACATAAAAGTGATAGCCCTATACTTCTTAGATCTAGATTATTCTGGGTATGGTCAGTTATGGAGTTTCAAGAAAGAAATATGCAAGTCATTTTGTGGTTTTTCCTGGCCAAACTTTGGAGAAAATATTGAATTATCCATCCTCTTTCTTCTATGACAGATGCCAGAGATGCAGAGCAGTTGAGCAAGAATAAGGTGACACACATTCTGTCTGTCCACGATAGTGCCAGGCCTATGTTAGAGGTAAGAGAGCTGCGCACATGTTTTCATTTGTGTTCCATTCGAGTGCATAGGACATTAACGAAGGCGACTGTGTTCTCTCTGACACCAGTATGCTCCTGTGATTGCTGACTGTATTAATTTTGTGCTCAGGCCACATTTATGTCTATGCCCTGTCTGTGGCATGATGGAAGGGTTTGTTCTTTTTCTGATTGTACATCTGTTTGGCTTTTTTGGCTAAGTGACAAAGGATAAGCTGATGCTACATTTATTTTCCTCTGGATTTTAAGGACATTTAAAACTCATTTCATTCCTTTCAAAATTATCTCTGATTTTAGAATCTAGAATAATAAAGGCTGTTCATTTCCTTCAGGCTGGTCATTTCCTGTTTGTTTGTTTGTTTGTTTGTTTTTTCCATTTAAGCTCTATTATGTGCCGTTTGCATTTATGTATGAAAGACAATGAAATAAATTGTTACTGCGCTTCTCTGGTACAGGGACTCAGAGTAGAAGCTGTCATTGTGTTTTTGGCTTTCGAATAAACGGTATATCTGCCTGAGTTGTTGGCCAGGAGCAGAATCGATTTCTGTATATTAGCCTTGACAGAGCTTAAGTTACCTCTTTTTAGAAAATAATGCATGTGTGATTATGATGAGTATTGTGTTTTTCTATTTTAGGGCCAGGTGTTGGAGAGAATGGGGTGACTCATTTTGAAATAATCCTAATTCAAGCTGTTTTTATTTAAATTCGTATTATGCAACAGTAGATAATGTATCTTTTATTTTAAATTTATTTATTTTCCTTAGCCATTAGAGCTGCCACATTTCAGTTAGTATAAAACAAATGAAGACATGGACTAATAAGGAATTCTATTAAACATTATAGTACCACAGAACCATAGACGACAAATAAACCTCAATTCATTTCTCCAGATCTGTGAGCTGATCCTCTGATGAAGGGCCCTAATAAAGAGTGCAGGGATAAGGAATGAGAGAGGAGAGAGCTGGGACCTCCTTCATTTTCTAAGATCTTCAGAACCATGTACGTTTATTGAATGGCTCTTAACTTAACTCTGGGCAGCCCTAGTCTGGGCCTGGGCTGGAAGTAGGGAGGTAGTTACTATCTGATATCAAAAGGCTTCAGTCCTGTCACTTACACATAGGAGTTCTGCGAGTCCTGCTGCCATGTCACTATCTGTGTATTAGGCAGTACACTGTAGGTACTTCTTTGGATCATTTCCAGCAAACATACGAATAGGTTTAAAAGCACTGCATGCTTACCATCAATTATCAAGAGATTTTAGAATCTTTAGGTCTGTGCTTATTATGATGGAAGCTAAGTGGGAGAAGGAAGTCATATTGTGTTTAAATATGGTTTCTAGAACAGAGGTCAGGGCTTAGTAAGGATTCTCAAAGGATAGACTGTCAAAACAGTAGGACTGTGATGTGATGCTTTGCAAAAAATAAATAAATTTAGGGAATTTAACATGCTCATGTTAAATTTCTCTAGAAGATTCATGCTTGTGTTGACATAATAATAAAGGTTCTCAAGTTTTGTGTTGAAGGCACACATTTATCAGTCTTTATGAGCAGGGAACCAGTTTGCATGTATGCATGCTATGTGACACGTGACCTGATAACATCCATGGAACCATATTCTGCGGAATATGGTCGTGGGAATCTAGATTAAGGAGGACCCTGGAAAGAGGCCTGCTGCCCCTTGGAGTATAGGATGAGTCTCCTGCGCAGGGTGCTTGTTCAGAGGAATGCTTACATGTCTGGTGAGCTGAGGGGATTAGAGTCAAGGAAATGATGCCAAACCATATCTTGTTACCAACTGAGACTGCCTTAGGATGGATTGTTGTGACAACCTGGTATAGCTAGAATAGGCAGAATAGAAGGTTACGCAGTTTTTGTGCCTGTTACATCTTCTTGAGTGTAATCTGTTGTAACACCTGGCCAATGACAATACTATAACATGCACCTGACATGAAAATTTTCATGAATATGCTGAAAATATATTTAGTTATTATGCATTTATTGATTCTCCTTAGGAAGGACTTTAAGGAACTTGGTTGATTTTAGCTAGATTAGATCTGATTCTCCATTATTAGGGTAATTTTTGGAGTTTCCCAACATAGTGTTAGCAGGGTCTAACACTTTTCTTGATAGGCAGAAGAAAATGAAAGGCACTGTTCTCAGGTCTGTAGAATGGCTGAGTCTTGCCTCTGATCATCAAGTGGAGCCAGGTGGTCTTTAATGGATGAGACAGATTTCTTTATCCTCTGAACCATGAGGCAAGGTGGTCAGCT